CCCCTTGATGTTTTAAATGACTCAATCTACCCCATGAACTTCCATTATGTGACCAAGGTTGCCCCATTCTGTTAGTTTTCAAATAAAAATCGTTAAATACATTAACGTGGCATGGGTATATTGATAATTTTAACTATTAAATATTAAAAATGTTTAAAATTATTCAAAATCAAATATGTAAAATAATAAAATAACATAATAAATAAATAAATAAATGAACACATCCCCAAAGTTCTGCATCATCTTCTTCGGCTATATCGCATCACCACCCCACTGTACACCCAACCACATTAGCAGCCGCCCACAACCACCAACACTTACCCTTGCCCTGCGAGACCCAGTCGCCCCACCCTCCATCAGAACCACTTACCCTTGTTTTGCATCTTCTTTTTCATTTTCTTCTTCTTTTATGAAGAAATGGAATGGGGAGGGGGAAGGTGGTTGCTGGGTTTTTAAGTTTTTTTATTTAGGGTTTAGGGACAACTTTGGTCATGGAATAGAAGTTTAGGGGGGGATATTGAGTCATTTAAAATGTCAGGGGGGAAACTGAGACAATTTGGAAACCACATGGGGTATTTCAACAAATAAGCCTTTTTGCATCTTCTTTTTCATTTTCTTCTTCTTTTATGAAGAAATGGAATGGGGAGGGGGAAGGTGGTTGCTGGGTTTTTAAGTTTTTTTATTTAGGGTTTAGGGACAACTTTGGTCATGGAATAGAAGTTTAGGGGGGGATATTGAGTCATTTAAAATGTCAGGGGGGAAACTGAGACAATTTGGAAACCACAGGGGGTATTTCAACAAATAAGCCTAAAAAATAAATGTGTGTAACGGTAACATCATGTGATATGCATATGATGAGTGTACACATATTATAACAATGTATTGAGTTTAGTGTTTAATTTTTAAAGTTTGTAATTTATATATTAATGATTGTACACTTTGTTAGAGTCGGGGAATTCGAGAAATTAGGTTGGCATGTCAACTAGTGATTGATATATTCTAATACTTGACTAATTTGATGTA